CACAGGATCCACATCGGTCGGTCACACGTGTTGACTGGCTCCTCGAGCAACGACTTCTCAGATGGATGTTAGTGTTTCTGTACTCCAGAGTACCCGTTTGGCGGAGTGAATAGACATCATAAGATCTTGAGGTTGCACACGGCAACGACCATCCGTCTCAATGCCAGGTCCGTTGTGTCACACCACAGAGCTGCACGCAGAGACCATATATGTCCTTGTCCTCTGAGAAATTCTTATAATAGTCTTATTAGACTCACAGAATATATGGAAAGATATCTAAAAACGACTCGATGTCGGGGCACTGCTGCGCTTGTAGCTACCCAGTCACCCACATACGTGACTGTTCAGCTCACAATCACTCATGGGATCACGAGACTTTTTACATACTCGCAAATCACGTCACATTAAGATGACTCTCGGACATCGACTGTCTGCACCGTCTAGTGAGCGTAGCAACAGCTCACATGCTGACGCGCCCACGTACGCGCAAACGGACCTACATATCGGAGAATCGAACGCAGTCAGCACACACAGACTCGCGCGCGCGCAGGAAGCGGGAAGTCAACCTCTCCACAAGTCCACGGACAAATATGGGACACGTGTAGCAGTCTCACTGCGGAGAAAAACACGTTCCCGCCGTCCGGACTTTCACCAAGGAACTCTCACAGACGACAAGTTCCTTTTTTGACTTGCTCCCATTTCCATCGTATTTATTTTTATACGTGTTGCAACCCACCACTGTCAACTATGCTAAAAACTTTTATTAGTGCATACACCTTCTGAGTTGTATTATGGCTATCACCACCTGTGAACTAATACGCTTCTTAGATATTCTACCCGGACGTCCTGAAAAAACCGTTACGTCCAGTTTGGCTCATAAACAGACTAAAAAATAATAGAGGGTGGAAGAATCATCCATTACTTTGGTGTCACTAGGAGACTCAACGGAGTCTTGCATTAACAACATTCTTCAGGCCAAAGCCCCCCCCCCTCCCCAAAATATATCATAAACATGAAATTCGAGTCTTCGGATGACACCAAAGTTATTTGCAAATAAGGCTATTCCATCAATAACGTAAAATTTGATGTTCAATTGGAGCACCACACGGTCGACGGAAACTTTCAGACTTCGTCTACCTGATAAGTTCCAAGATTGGTGAAACATGTGGTAGACTTTAGAAGAGTTGGGAAAAGGGGGGAGTATATTTCAGAGACCAGTTGGGGGGTCGAAATGCTCCTCTAGAGCATTCAGTAATCGACTGGGTTTCCATATGTTTGCTGATTCATACAACAGAATTACTCACCAAACCATGGCACATGCAAAAGTCTGTCTGAATCGTTTTCTAAATAACATCATGAAATAGCTAACTGGTGAGTAGCATTACTGTCGGATTTCTCCAACCGTTTAAAGAAAATGGAGTCGCTTTTTTAGTAGACACAGTACAGTTAGAGATCTGGAGGAATGGTAAATGGCGAAAATGCTCATTTTGACCAAGAATACAAAGACACAAAATCATGGGTATATTGCAAATTTGTCAACCTTTTCTTGTAAACATGACAAGGATACTCAGATAGACAGAGTCCCTTGTTATATATAACCTTTTTAGCATTTGTTGTAGACTAGCCGATCGTTAATAGACGTGATAATAAGACGTGTAAATTCTACAGTTTTCCCTTCAGCCACTGAAGTTAGATGCTTGGTTTCTCTGTTTCCGCTAAATGCGGACTGAAGCGCAACAATATAACTATCATAAAACTGGATGAGCTAGGCAGTCATGACTTAAAACAGAAGAATTTGGTCCTTCGCTTTGCTATTGTGTTCTTGAAACCAAACTCTCCTGGACACCGGACCAATAAACGGATTCACTATGAAAATCTCTGTTAAATCTCAGTCTTTGATGATCCTTAAATCTCAAAAGATCGAAATTAGGCTTCACGGACCTACATACATGGGGCGGACAGAACACTCTCCAGGACTAATCAAGATGTACGCCATCTTTTTTTAAGTTAAACTATTCATTTCACCTAAGAACAACAGTTTTTGAGCTCCGAATCGCTTCACCCTTTCAGTAGTAGTATGTGCTTGTTGTTAAATTCGGCTAACGCCCTGTTTCACTAGGCTACCACCGAACGTTTCCAGTGTGATGAACCGATAAGCAGACACAGAGTTAAGGGCGTCTAGGATTTCGGCAGACGGACAGGAGGTGCCAGTGATTGGTTGGCGACTATTTTTGGGATGAATAAAACCAAATTCGAAATACGGGAATATAGTAGCTGTGAGTGTAGCCCTCTCTAGAGGTTGAGGCCCAACTTTATCAAATGGATACCACCAATGGAGCTATAATTTGCACCGTCTTTATGGGGATCGGAACTGTTTTCAACGTTCTTGCTATCTTACTTCTCCCCCGAGCCAATCTTCACTCAAGACTCACTCTGTGGCTTCTGCGCGCGCAATCACTTTGTGATGCCTTAGTTTGCATCATGACCATACTCCTCTTCTGGATTGATGAGTTTCCGTATTGGGACGACATCGGTGGATCACTATCGTGCCACTTATGGTCTAGTCAGATATTCTACTGGATGGCAACGTCGGCCAGCACGGCCAACGTGGTATGTATTGTGCTGGATCGTTTATGGGCTACCGTTTACGCCGCAACCTACCGGCGTAATCAAGTTCGCTATCTTGTCCTATGCTGCATTGGTAATTTCATTTACAGTTTGGCGTGTTCAGGGCCAGATATGTTATTAGTCCAGTTCGAAAATCACGTGTGTTCGAGAAATTACACATCTCCTATTCCAGCGATAGAAGAATTCCGGTACATACATCGTTATCTAGTGTTAGTTTTGTATTATGTACTGCCACTTGTGGCAGTTTCCGTGTGTCATGCGTATGTTGTTTGGTACATCAGACGCAGATTGCGTCCTCACACAAACTTGCCGGACGAAACCCAAACCACCTCGACCGAGGAAATGAGCGAATCTGGCTCCGTACAGTCCGCAAATATCGTCAACTCACTGACCTTCGGAGCAATGGGATTTATTATTTGTCTCGTTCTCGCACACTCCTACGACACTTTCTTTTACGCGTTCGATTGGGCTTTTGGAACCGAATATGTTGTGGGTTCGAATGAGCAACTTCTAGGCTTGTTCCTGAACTCCCTGAATGCCCCAGTAAATCCCATTTTGATCGCTGTCTCCGTGCCTTCATTTCGTCGCAGTTGCGTGCAAGTTGCTCGACATAGTCTAGATTACATCAGACAAGAATATAATGAAGCCTATCGGAAGTATTCTGCTAAAGGACCATCATCCTATTCGGACTTGTAAGGCATGAACCAATCAACACGCTTTATGTAACAGCTATTCGATCCATCTCCACTTACATTCCGTCATACTCTTATGCTTACGATAAAAAGAATCAACCTATTGATTTCCATAGTTTTCCATCGGGTTTCTGTGATCAGAAAAAGCATCATATCTAAGATAGTCTCATAATTGTCAGCCACTGCGAGTTATCCGCAGGTTGAAACGATCCATTTATCGTCTGGTTAGCTCGCCACACTGAGTCAGGTCTACCGCTATGTACACATACTATTATACTCCCGGTGTTTCGGATGTTATCACACAGTCGGAATTCTGTGCAAAACTAAGTTCAAGTGCGCTCACCTCTTATAGTTGCGCTGGCCGAAGACCCGCTGTTCACCCAACTATCTTTTAGAGTTTACCGCAGATTTCCCACTGAGTATACCTAGAGACAGCCCAACTCTCCTCAGCCTCAATGTTCGTTATTTGTAAGTGAAGACAAATTCATCACGAGTCAAATTTTAGTATCCTTAAATATAATTCAAACGATGGCTTCTCGAAGGCTGGTAACATCGAAATGTTCGGAATAAGTGAACCAGTTAGCACGTTATGCCTTGCTAGATTGGATCACCTTGAAACTGCGGCACACGATCTGATAACCGATCGGGTGAACTGATTTCGGTGTCCATTGAGGAATGTGATTGTCAGATTGTTTTGGTTCTAAGTACTCAGCATCGATTGTTGCTAACATAGACGGTACCACTTACAACTTGTGTTCAAATTCGTTGAATGGTCATCTACTGCATGATTGTCAGATTGTTTTGGTTCTAAGTACTTAGCGTCGATTGTTGCTAACATAGACGGTACCACCTACAACTTGAGTTCAAATTCGTTGAATGACCACCTAACGCACCGATGGGGCATCGCTGGCCGCACCCGAAATTTTCTAGTAATCGTCCAGCTGTGACACCCTTACGGTGCCTAGCTGCCATGACACACGAAGGAAGCACGAGGGCGGGGATACTGCCAGGTTGCCCAGGCCTAGACAGGGGAAGTCGAGAAGCAGAGGTAGGGTTCGAACCAGTGGCAGTTTCTGTTCCGTCTGGTTTAGGTAGTGGACAGATCAAATTTAGGCCTTGTTCTCTATCTAACTGAGATCCCTTAGAATATGCTTGCATAGTTGGGTTCGAACCACGGACCTTCCAGTCAAGAAATTCGCGCTCTAACCACTTGGGCCACCTAGTGTGCAGTATTGAACAGTAAACTACCTTTCGTTCCCGCTATACGGCATGCATGTTTCGTCCTAGCTTCATGTTACGTGATTATAACGAAAGTCAGAGATTACTTCTATCAAACTTATCCTTAGGTATGAAAAAACACTTGTCATTTTGGTCGCAAGCCTTCAAAGCAGAACACTGGCTCTCCAGACTACCCTATCTCCTTATAATCTTTACGCAATAAGCGAACTTTAAGGGTTCTATTAAGGTCACATCCTGAAAGGGGGAGTTACTGCATAGTAAAAGCCCAAGACTCGTTTCCGAGCTCAACTCGGAGTCTGTGAGCGAGTGTGAAAAATGTCTCCGTTGCGTAAATATGACCCGAGTAGACGGCGATCATGGAACACTCAGTGTGTGCACAAAACCTCACTATTAATGAGTCAATCGCGATTGCTTTAGTTGTGACCGGGCATTGATATTCAACAGATCTTAGTAGGTAGATGAGCGCTTGGCGCATTAGTCGGAAAGCGTTGTTCAAATTAATCACATTACTTGTATCAACCAAGTGAGCTAGTAATAGATTTCTTTGATGTGGTTATCAGCCACAATGGGTGATGCTCTTTATTTCCTTGCGTAAATTCCTTGTCATGCGCCCTGCGTACTCTGCTATACAGCATCGGGTAAGGTAGCGGAAACTACTATGCTATGAGCTTGGAGCAGCCGCTTTTAGATATTTATATGATGGAAAGTTCAATGTCCCTCTAAGCTGTGCTGTCTTCTGAGGTCTCCAAGTGCACAACTGGATCCTCTTGTTTGTTTGAGGTTTCGTCTTGTGTTCTAACCGACCGGATTGATTTCTGCTTGAGGTGAGAGGTTTCCTATCAATTCCATGGAAGCCGACCATGCTTTTGCTGGTTTGTGGAAAGCTTCATCTCCATGAATAGTTTAAGATATGCATAGCTCCTTTGCTTCAGTTATTTTTTCCGTTGTTTGTTTTGCAACAGGGTTCAGAATGAAGCTGTTTCCTAGCGCTTTCGATCACAAATATCGAGTACGCAGAATACATAGCTCTTCTTGAAGTTGACCCCGTGGTAATTCAAACAAAATTGAACAAACTGAATAATGCTGCCTCGTGGTTTGATATGCTCTTCACACCTGTAAACTGTAAAATGCTACTGCAAGACTAGGTGGGCTGGAACCCTAGCCTCATTCTTGCAGATGAGCCGATTGAGGTAGTAGACAAATTCGTTTACCTGGGCAGTTGTATCAGTCCCCGTGTTCTCAAAAAATATGATATTCCCACCAGGATTAGGAAGGCCAGATCAGCTTTGGTAGACCTGAATCACCTGCTGTGTAGACGTGACATCAGGGTCGAGGTTACAATGTTGCGGTGCGCTCCGTATTACTAACGGATAAAAAACCTAGCCGCTGCACGCCGAGGACCTCAAAAGACTCTCAGTGTTTGACCATCGATGTCTTCGGAGCATTGCCCGAGTCTGGTGGGAACACCGGATCAGCAATGTTGAAGTACGTCGAAAGGTATTCCGAAGAAACAACTCACCTTCGATAGATGAGCTGATCACACTGCATTGGTTGCCCTGGCTTGGTCACGTTCTGCGTACGTCAGTCGACCGAATTCCCCGAAGGGTTCTTTTCGCACAACCATGTGACGGAGACGGTCAAACAATGACTTGGAGAGAAGTATAAAAACTATCACTAACAAATCAGCTGCGCTGGTCATAGACGTCCTCCTGTAGGGGATCCCGATATGGTCCACACCAGTGATTGGGGACATTGTCAGACATGGCCCAGTCGCGCCCTCAATGGAGCTCATGCATTCAAGCCATTGCCTTCAGTGCACAGCTCCCTTCCCAATCCCCCACCGCATTTGACAATACTGTAATTACGCATCAATTTATCAGCTCCCACCTCCCCAAATCGTCGGTGAACGAAACTGTGGGAGCCACAACCATTGTACGACTGTTCTTACAGCTGACAATGATGATGATGATGACCTACTTACTGCCTCTTTCATTGCGGACTATGTATCGGACTCAGATTGAGGCATAGTCTTTGATTCAAGAGATATCCAAATTTCGTTCTTTCATTGTATCTTGAATTTAAACAAGTGACGCCGGGTCATTATGTGGTAGATACGGTTGTGTGTTCTGAAATCCGATAGACGGTCTCCACCAGACTGACCTAATTAATGCATGGACCAAGTGGTCAGAGCACGTATTTACTGATCGAAGGGTTGGTGGTTCGAACCAGACCTCTGCCAACTGGCTTCCCCTGTCTAGGCTTGGACGACCTGGCAGTATCCCAGCCCTCGTGCCTCCTTCGTGTGGCGTGGCAACTAGGCACCGAAAGTGTGCTAAAGCTGGACGATTTTTTTCTTTTTTTTTTGTTTGTAAAATTTATCACCTTGATTTAATGGTTACAAACTGTTTCTGTAATCGTGTCCTGCCTTTTTGTTTTCAGTTGACTGCGTCTCGTTCAAAATGTTTCCAGAAAGAGGGAAACATTATTTGTGGTAGAATGTTACGAATGAATCCTTTGATACATCAGCTTGACAGAGTAGTTCAAACCCTACCAGTAAACGCACTCCAGCAACGTAATGATGGGGCGTATGCCAGGGCTAAATGTTGATAGAATGCACGTGTGACAACCCTCACTGGGTGAAAACGGCCTGGAGTGTCGCTGTTTGGTTTTATTCCATGTGTGAGCTGGTCGAATCTTTATGCAGCTGTTAACTTAAACAGGGCCTACCCACATGAAGTTGCCGTTTCATACCAAAGATTTGCCCGCACTGGACTTACACAAAACAGGTCGTTCTTAGAGTCATACCAAGTTTTCAGGTCACATTCGGACGCGGAATAGCCATGTGCACTTTCGTCGGGTTAAACCGAGGATGTGCTCAATAGCCGTCAGTGAGCTACAGCTAACATTGCTTCGAATCTCCTTCTGTAATCTAAGCATTTCTGTACACTGGGATGACACCAAGATGGAATAAAAAGGAGGCAGCTCGCTTCTTCGTCTCTTCAAAAAATAATGCATTCGGCTTTTCACAATCTACTACAGGATGGGTCTCTAAGCCCTTTCGTAATTCAAGACCGTTCGCATGTCCAGTTATAAATTTCTACCTACATACTTCTATTTCTCAAAAAGGTATTCTCGTGTACTACCTCAGTAAGTAGTTTCATCATGGAATGTAGTGTTCAGAGGTGAACACTCAACAGTCGCGGTCTTTGAAATGTTGCAACTTAGTGTTTGGCTATTGTTACTTGTCGCCAATCCCCCCTATCATTCCAATATCACCACGCTCAGCTAAAACGACGGTACCTGATCAGGGGATCTACAAAGAGGAAAACGGCTGTTCATTCTAGTCAGAGCACCTTTACACGACTGTAAACAATCAGATATACGTGGTATTCGAATTCTGCGCCCTGTTTGTTTACTAGTCCCTTCAAGCTAAGTACCTGAGAAAGCTTACGTTAAATTTTCCGAGTGGGTTCTTTGACCACATTATGCGTTACGGTTCAAGGTGGTAGCAGTAGGATTGCATCAAATATCTCAGTGTTCGAATAACGTTTTGGAATCTCTTTACCACCTACACACTGAATGGCTAAATGAGGTCTCTTTTGGGACTTCAAAAGCCTCACAAGGAATCTCAGGAACTCCAGAAGCCGTTTCATTGGACTTGGATTTTTAAAGTACCGTATCATACCACACAAGGCGCTGTCCTAATTGCGCACATGATAAGGTTCTTCTGGAAATCCCTTCTGAGAATCATTATAACCATTTATGACTCGAGCTGAACGTGAAACGCCTCAAATCTTACTTGGCCAAATAATCCCAATGGTGATCGAACTTCAAAATGATGTGACACTAAGTGGTGACAAATGATCACGCAGAAGTCTTCCTATCTTCACTTTATTTATTGTTCTACTGAGAAGACTATTCAGTATGTTCGCAACATAAATTTTGTTGTTGTAACCAAATCAGTTGTATTTTATTTTTCCGCGTACACGGATGTCCACTAAGGGGCCAAATGTGCGTGAAAATGTACGCCAGCCATCGACCACATTTCTGAGCACCACAACAGTCATTCCACGGATTCTTCCAAGAATAAGCGACTCGTTCTCAAATGAAAATTTGGAGCCAAGCCATGCTTGTGATTGTCTACAATTCGAGCATTCTGACGGAAAACACAGGTAACTTTACATCATTGCAAATCCTTGTTGGCATTATTCATAGATTGCTGAAAAAGTCTGGCAAACGAGCAGAGGATGGATTTACTTCTACCTACCAGGTTACCGAATTCAAATCAGTGGCATACAATTTGATGAAGTCTTATCACATTAGGCTCACAGAAACTGGTCTCTACAGTGATCCAGGGAACATTATGGGTGTTGCTACCGATCGACACCGGTAGAAAACTCGTTGTATAGTACGGTTAATTGACTTTACCGCGTCACTCTGATCTACCGCTGGTATATGCACGTCATCCGAAAGATGACTACAGTATGAACTTCTCCCTGAAACTGATCACGGATAGAGACAAAGAATCAAATTGGACGTCGCTATTTGAGCAAAAGCCGTCAGAGAACATCCACACTGACTCTTTGGTCGACCGCCGCAAATGTTCAATTACGAGTGAAGTTATTGGGATTACAAAGTTTTTTTTGCTGTCACGATTAGACCACTCTTTGAAGAACAAGATTAAGGCTTCAACACATGTCAAGCAACGCAAAGCAATGCACCTTCCTCAATGCTTATCCGTTCAATAAGACAGGTGAAGAGAACCTGCAGCCGAACAGCAAACTGGTCGGTTGCACGTAATCTCCCACCAGCATTGAAAAGAACAGGGAAAATATCCCCAAAAACTCCTGCGATTTCGCGGATCTCGCTGTGGAATCGACTGTATAGGAAAGTTCCGGACCATGTTTAGGGTCGCTGAAGATCGATACAGAGACCCGACACCGCGATGCCACACTACTGGTAGCTCAATCCGCTACACCCTTACTGCTGATGTGGAATTGAGCAATCAACACGGGCAGCTTGCAAAACGAAATCAGCTCCACCAGTGTTGAAGTTAATGACAAAACATGGCAACGGGCTAGGGACAATAGGTAAAATGGATTTTTCGTTTACGTCAACTAAACATTACAACCAGGAACAAGGCGTGAAATAGCGGGAATTTAGAATAATTGCTTGCAAATTATCTATTGTGGAATTAGTCGTGACGATTATAAGATAGCAAGCTAACAGCAGAGGTACCAACAACCCGTTCGAAATTCTTGTATGCGATGTGAATTGACGAATTTAAGGACAAGGGTCCGTTCAGTAGGTATCAGGATAAAAAGTGGGCAGTCGAGGTGAAAATGTTTGAAACACCCACCATTAATGAGTAATTTTTGACCTGACTATTGGCATGGAACGGAACGGCCCAGGAATAGGTGACATAAAGACCAAGCTGAAGAACCCCGTTTGGTTTCATGCGTCTTTCCTTCCTCAAACTCACAAATTCGGAATTAGCGACCGACCACAAGATAAGTTCATTGGTACAGAACTACTGTCCATTAACACCAAGTTACTCGACAAATGAGTGTCCACCCCAACAAATTGGTGTTCAGATAAGATGCAAGCCTGATGGAAATTCGGCGAGCAGGTTTATCGGACCAGCCCCAAGAAAGACAGTGGGCTTTCTAAGGATTTTTGGTGGACCTTGTAATTAGTAGTTAGGTCAGCACCTAAACTTTAGAATCCGGGTTTGCTCCCTGAAGTCCCATCTACTTCATTCTATTCTCGCCCAATTCTTCCAAAGAGTATTCCAGCCACTTATATGTGGTAACGATAGAATTCAATGAGATTTGATGACGGAATTACGTACAAGTTAGGTCTTTAGTAGAGCACAACTGTTGTTCTGAGTGACAGGTATGACTCCTTACCAGAAACTGTGGTACACAAGACGCGTCAGATGGTCCACTTGGAAGAATGAAGACCAGTCATTCGGAAGGCCCCATATGCTCTTCATTTGTGCGCCAAATGATGTACCTCAAATGGAAGGAGCTGGTATCATCATAAAAACTGACAACTCTTCTGTTTTTTTGGCTTCACACCAAGTTGGCGGCTAAAGGGGCCTCAGTTTGGTTAGAATTCTACCTAGAGTTTCACGGGGTCCTTGATTTGTTGGAAACACTCAAAGAGCTTGCGTGTATAGGAAAACTTCACGGAGAACGAAGCGCCTCATGCGGCCGGAGCCTTCGAGGTCGCATATTCCGACCTAAGTTCTGATGCACCACGAGAAACACCTCTAATGAATCGAATTCCATCTCTAATAAGAGCGAGAAGTGCTTAGAAGACAGTCGGTACTACGGCTTTCCATAGAGTATTCTAAACAACCAAAGGAAGCGGAAATGTTCAAATCCAACGAGTGTCCGTTCATTCACTACCCTGTGGTGTGGGCAATCTGTTGGGTTGTGGAAAATGTCCCACGAGGATGAAAAAAGTCCGCCAGTTTCAGTTCTTCAATGGACCTAAAGTGTAGTTTGACGAATGCCGCTAGGTTCCATGAACACTCGATGGTACTCTAGACAGCAATGGCATATGGAAGTTCAAACATGTACATAGCAAAGCTAAAGGAGCAAAAGATCGCATGCCTTGGAAGAATGAATGAGAAAAAATGACATTCAGCAACCAGAAACCAGTCCGCACCCGCTGAGTTAAAACTTCAGTTTTCCTACTGTTGTATGCGGTCAAACTTCCATACATGTTCTGTGCAAGTGACTCACTCATTCGAAATTACCGGAAAGTCGAACACATGGTGTTTCGCACGCTGTGCACGTGACAGACGAATCACGTGGATACCAGCTGTTTGTAAGCCCGTCGACAATGCCTGATAGTGTCGAATTAAATTTTCAAACTGGTAGTTTCAGCCCGAACCTTTAGCACTAATTGCGCATGGTACGGAATGAGGCTGCCAGCTGAAACGCTTGTTTTTGCAAAGGGTAGAACAACGCACACAGACAGTTAGCTGAAGGGGTGAGACAGGCCCGTCCGGTAGAGGCAGCAACAGTTGTATGAGCACGATATGCTTCAATCAGAGGTACCGCTAGAACAAGCACAAGTTCACTGCCCACCGAAACCCTTACCAAATGCCGTAATCCACAAGACAAAATTTGGGTGAAATGAAGTCCGATTTCCGAAAATAGACAATATACTGAGTCGAGATGCTCGGATAAATAAGAAATATGTATAGACCCTTTTGTACACATTGTGTATCACGGTAACAAGGAAAAAACAAAAGCGATAAGACAAAAATATATCAGATTCTCGACAGTAACGAAGATCTGAGGTAGGTCCAAGGGTATGGGTTCGGTTTAGCGGACGAGCAGCTTGCGAAAGCGATAGCAATGGAGCAAGCACATTGGAAGAAGAGCGAGGGAAGAGCAAATACCGGAAAATACGAAAGCATTGGCCCAGCCCATGACATCAGAAAGGCGGGATATCGGATAGCAGGCTGCGAAGGCACCCACTGTAATGTAACAAAAAGTAAGGAAACTAAGTGATGAAGGAATCAGATGCATCTACGGATAGAAAAGCATACCACTAAGTAGAAACACTGTGCCATGAAGGTCAATGTAGCGTTGCTATGGAAATGTCGTTTCATGCATAAACACATGCTTATCGAAGCAATTTAAACGGAGGCTCAGTACGTATTTCAATCAACTAAGCTAGGTGTATACCCGAACTTGGTGGATACAGTTAGGGGATATTTAGAGGACAAGGTGCCTATGCTACCAAATACAGTTATGGAATGATTACCTCATCCAGCGACAGTGGGCTACTGAAATGCCGTGGTTCGCGTCCTCACAGACACTCTCGACCCAACTGTCGACATGGATACCAATGAAAAATTGTTTCGGAGTAGCCTGCAGTTAAGTTTATGAGACAGTGAAAACAAGCGTTGGAAATATTTTTTGTTAAATAAACAGTAGGACACTCCGCAGATGAGTGGGGTTTTATCTTCCACGGTCACAACCTCAGGAACGTCAAGCTGTAAAAGTGGACGCTCCCAGGGGGCTCCGGAACAAGCATACAAAAGCTCATTTAGTTGTGGGCTGAAGTCCACCAGTTGAGGTTAAGAAGCAGCAAATTTGCTTAAAACGTATTACCACGAGGCGCGAATTTAGAATTTACTGCTTTACACAGTAAGTGGCCCACAAGAAATTAGTTGTGAATCCGAATTCGAGTAAACCATTCTCCGCTCGTCCCTCCCGGACAATAATGTCCGTTGAAATCACCGCGAACCTTTCCCAACGCTGCTCACCAACCGGACATTTAGTAACCTCTGAGTTTCAGCACAACAGTTGTTCATCAGACTATCATCAGAATCTGGTGTCTTATGTCAAGTCATGCTTTTGTTGGTGAACTGAATAGATTGAAGTTAATCAGTACACCAGCCAATTGACTTGAACACATCAACATGCTTTCCAGGCCTTAAAAGCGTTTTGCTCGCGCTCTTTGATGCAGCAAGCATGTTTGACCTTCGAGAAATACACTCATTTGCAAATCAATTTGGTTTTTCACGAGGGACTTGACTGAATCTCTCGTTTATGGTATTCCACAACTGAATGTGCTGCACACAGGCCGCCTCATGATTCAGTTGGCACGACATTCGAGATATCGCAGTATATTTTCACGAAGAAAACTACTCACAAGGTTACTGAGGAGTTTTCAGCAACCTTGTGAGTAGTTTCCTCTATAAAAACATGTTTGACCTTGTTTGAACAAACGAACGATCGGGACCACAGATGAGTCGCAACACGCTGGTGAAGATGACGCACTCAATCAAGTGCGAGTGGTCGTCCGCGTGGGTGCAGCCGCACAAAGATGTGTTGCTCTCCCATGTGGAGACTAGCGAAAGCATGCAGGCGATCGTAATTATCGTTCATATCCCTGGTACGATAATGCCCGGAAAGGCCAAGAGACAAGAAGTCAAATCAGCAAACATCGGGGAGATGTCACCTTTCTAAAGTGATCCGGAGTCGTCCTCTACTGACCACGACATTGGAGTGTATGCGCTGATTTCACAAACAGTTCCTACCAGTAAGTGACAAGCGCAGTGAGGCACGCTTACGGAACCACGCAGAGACAACCAAACGGCTGAAAAAACAGTGCGAGCAGAGAATGTGCCCCAGTGGCCCACATCTTTGAGACATAACCAGCTAGTGTAAGTCAGTAGCCGGTTTGATCTGCACACCAGTGGTCAGCAAGTCGCAAAAAGTCACCTCTGTCTGTACGGAGCAGTAAGGTGGGCCATTTGCACACATAAATGGGATCAACGGAATGGGTGAACGTAATGATGATACCAGATCATATCCTCATGGCATTTTAGGTTCAACTGTGGCCTGACTTGTATCGGTCTTCAATGGAATAATTGTGGAATGCTATTTCTAGCACGCTCAGGGGCGCAACACGGCACATGGAGAAGTTTAGACAGCTAAACCCAATGGTGTCAGTTTTGGGTGAACAAAATAGTCAAGAATCAGTCTATATGATCCCCTTATGGCATACTATGACAACCAGTCATGGTTTGCTTTTGGTCCGATCACCGTCATGAAAAGTCGTCCCAGCATTGTCTCAAGCTTAGCCAGATAGCTAGACAAAATATTTCACATTTTCATTTGACGGTCGTAGCGTTCGTTAATATTCAGTAAGTTCAATACGATCCGCACAAACACGGCAGGCGCTGCAAATCCAATTAGTTCTGTAGCACAACCTAATAGTCCTTAGTCACTTGCGCTTTGCACGCTTGAGCATCCGGGCTCGAGGAATTCGGCAAATAGAATAATCAACTCCGGTCCGAATTCTCTCGTTTCACGAGTCTTTGTTTTGTCTGTCAGTCGCAGATTTCACACGGTGGTCTTAAACGTCCAGGAATGGCCGCGTTGGTTCACTTGGATTCCTCCTATTGAAACTCAGCGGCTGCCTCGATAGCTTGCTTTCCGCCATTTGAGTAACATGTCCCTAACAACACACAGATTGCTGTCCCCAACTGCGACCAACAGAGAGTACGCACATATCTCGAGAGAATCCCTCCTAGGAATTGCTCGATGGTGCAGATCTCATTGCAACTTGATTTCAAATAAGACCTACAGGAACAGACAAGAAGGAAACTATCGGTTTATGATATGACTGGCCTGCCCACCTCTGGAACAGGAACAACAGTGACGCCTTCGCCAGTCGATGGCCACGTAAAAGTGACTAACCTCACCAGTACTGCTGCGACAGCCAAGTTCACACTATTCTTGACTTGGCTCAATCGACAGCTTGGCTAGGTAAAAGATTTGAGCATTTCAAGCAGTTGAAGTGAGCAATCCAGCTAGGGAAACTAGAAAATATTATTCGTTATTAGCTGCGTTTCTGAAAACTAATTGTAAAAAGGCACCTCACAATAATCCCATTTATCTTCACTTAAGCATGACTGGGAACTAAAATAGTTACTCATTCGTGACGATTCATGCGACAAGGACTAACGGACAGGTTGTGTTGGAACATAGGAGCCACCTGCACATAAATAACTGTGCTAGTGGGTAGTGAGGTGGGGGATGGCGCAAGTGGTTAGAGCACGAATCTGCTGACTGGAAGGTCCGTGGTTCGAACCCGACCTCTGCCTCTCGACTTCCCCTGTCTAGGCTTGAGAAACCTGGCAGTATCCCAGCTCTCGTGCAACGTTTGTGTGGCATGGTAGTTGGGCGCCGAAAGGGTGCTATAGCTGAACGAGAATATTCATCCTGGAGGAAGTGACAAATTGAAGGCAAGAAAGTATTTGGAAACATCCGCAGTACGCGATGGTTGATTGTTGTTGACTCATCCAAAAGAAAACAGTCTCGTCGACATTCCGGTATACTTGAAAGTGTTTGCTTAAGGACAATAACAGCCGAACTGCCATAGGGATGCAGCAGCTCGATAAAAAGCAGATACAGTCGTAATTCGAGGTGTGATTGATAGCTGTCGCATGATAATCATCTAATTGAACATGTTTCAGTCAGGAGCTGCGGTGTCTCACCATAGGGGTAAGCATAAAAGTAGTCGTAACCGTGGACTGCATAAACACTTACCGTTGGCACAGAGCGCTGTCAGCGCATGACTAGTACCGCTGAGTGACACTGGGACCAACTCCACTGCCAGCACCCCGCATAGGGAAACAGCGCCAAACACGCTCAAACCAAGGAGCAGTGCAGATATCATTAGAATACCCTAGAATGAAAGGAACAAAATGAGGATGAACAGTAGACTCATGGAAGAATCAATTAAACAAGGTGTAAGTTGAAGACCACTGCCGTGACGCAGCGCAATAATCAACCACACAAGCGTACCAATTTTACAGACAGAAGTGAACATTGAGGGTCGAGTCTCGTGTATTCTTTCTGCACTAGATACACCCAGAGACTGACGAATGTTCTAGAGAAGCTGCATCCTTACTGAAACAAGCATGTTGAAACTCGTCAGGAAGCGCTACTGATCGACTTACACCCACAAAGCATGTATCAAATAGGGAACCATATGCAAGCCTACGGAAAAAACCCTAAAGCGGAGCTCCATACTCATCCATACGTGAAAACTAAGGACTATTCAAGCTAAACAACTACAAGAGGGTTGCCCAAATTTCCTCAATGAGAGACACTTTGTTATCAGAGGTAATTTAAGGGGAGCTACGATTCTCTAGAGGCTAGATATCGGAACATTTGTTTACTGTGGACACCTGTTGCGGGGCCCTCAAAGGAGCAGCGGTAACCAGGGATTACGTGGCTGATATTCACTAGAACAGTACTATCAAAGGTTAAAAAAAACATTATGGGAAGATGCATCTAAGGAAACGAAGTCTCTGTTAAACTGAACAAGAAAATACAGCAAACCAACACAACAGGGATGAAAATTAAACAACCAGAGAACGTGGGGAAAAGCCTAGCGTACCCATGGGATTCCCGCGGCAATACTGAGACCAAGTCCGCATAACACCGCACACGCAATCGCCATATGACCAAGAATGTACGGTATTCGCGGATTCAGGAAGCGGGAAGGTTTCTGAAATACAAGTACAAAACGACCATCGATGTAAATGAAGAAAAACAACTCAAGCGTGCGAACAACCTCAAAGTGAGTCAAACATGTTGGTTCATTCTGCCTTCAGCTGCTAAAAGATACACATAACTAAGTATACGTCGTACCACAACTCGGGTACTCAAACGTTTTAGCCAAAACATATACACCTGACTAGATGGGCGTGCGATCCAGTTACGTCTTAAAAGAATCAAGTAGCCACCAACTACGAAAATGCGATGCTTCGTACTCCGTTCGAGAGTAAATCTGTCAGAATTCACTTGGAAAAGAGTTGGGAGTGGAAATACTGTCCTAGTTTGATGCGCTGGCAAAATAACAATGGAATTCTCATGTAATTCGAACTATGGAGGGCATACGAGTTGTCGTAAAGTTGTCAGGTCCGTAATCTTATAGATACTTGGAACCAAAAAACTCTTAGATCAAGATAATAAACTGAAACAAAAGCTTCGACGTCCAGGAAGCAGTGGGTGAACGAAAATTCACGATGAAGAACCTGTGAAACATCTGAGCATGATGAAGATTTTTTCGCTTATTCTCCTCCCCCTCCCATGTGTTTGCTAACATTACTATGCAAATGAAGATACAGCTTATATGCGCATAGGGACTTGGTATCAATAAACCGAGGTGATTGGGAAAACAGCTGTTCACAGGCATTCTAAACCTACTGCTCCGTACCGCATTCATGTTGTGGCAACCCGGAAATCTTTGCGGGCTGTCCTAGTGAGAAACTCAAAATAACTTGTCACGGTTTCCCGAGAGAAATCCAGAAATGAGTTGACGTGAAAATGAGACATTTCCGAGGAGCTGTGTCTTCTAACTTATCGGAACATCTTACCTGGACTGCTGTTGTTACAATTAGATTCCCGACAGGTCATCATAGGAAGTTCATTAGGACACTAAAGCGTACAGGCTCTGCAGAACAAATACGGTCGTTGCCGTCGACCACATTTGGGATGATGAGAATTACCAATACTCAGAGTCCAACTGAGAATAAAAACAAGATTCGATCTAGGCATTTTTCCGGATTTCGGAGATTAGCTTCACCCGATATACATCAGTGTAACCCTCGGAATTCCCAAATGGAGTGTAACAGTCAAGTGTGTCCAGAGCGAAAGTAAACACAACTGTTGGATAGAATGAGCGATAAGCGTTGAAAGTAGTTAGTTTCTTAAACACTTGAATTTTCATAACATATGAAGCTCTGTTCGGAAAATAGCGTAGCCAGCACTGAGGCGTTTTCCGATCTAACTCCCACAAATCCGAAAACAGACTCAAAAAGATAATAATCAAATGGCAGTAGAGGACTTACACGAGTGACACCCATGTCTGAAAGCAGACCTGCTAACAGGTTTCCAAAAATTCCACCAAGCTCGAAAACACTGACGAATAAGTTAGCTAAAGGATACANGCTTATATGCGCATAGGGACTTGGTATCAATAAACCGAGGTGATTGGGAAAACAGCTGTTCACAGGCATTCTAAACCTACTGCTCCGTACCGCATTCATGTTGTGGCAACCCGGAAATCTTTGCGGGCTGTCCTAGTGAGAAACTCAAAATAACTTGTCACGGTTTCCCGAGAGAAATCCAGAAATGAGTTGACGTGAAAATGAGACATTTCCGAGGAGCTGTGTCTTCTAACTTTTCGGAACATCTTACCTGGACTGGTGTTGTTACAATTAGATTCCCGACAGGTCATCATAGGAAGTTCATTAGGACACTAAAGCGTACAGGTTCTACAGAACAAATACGGTCGTTGCCGTCGACCACATTTGGGATGATGAGAATTACCAATACTCAGAGTCCAACTGAGAATAAAAACAAGATTCGATCTAGGCATTTTTCCGGATTTCGGAGGTTAGCTTCACCCGGTATACATCAGTGTAACCCTCGGAATTCCCAAATGGAGTGTAACAGTCAAGTGTGCCCAGAACGAAAGTAAACACAACTGTTGGATGGAATGAGCGATAAGCGTTGAAAGTAGTTAGTTTCTTAAACATTTGAATTTTCATAACATATGAAGCTCTGTTCGGAAAATAGCGTAGCCAGCACTGAGGCGTTTTCCGATAACTCCCACAAATCCGAAAACAGCCTCAAAAAGATAATAATCAAATGGCAATAGAGGACTTACACGAGTGACACCCATGTCTGAAAGCAGACCTGCTAACAGGTTTCCAAAAATTCCACCAAGCTCGAAAACACTGACGAATAAGTTAGCTAAAGGATACAGAAAGCAGGGAAACGGTGGATTAAAAAGACAGAAACCCAGCTAAATTTACCGAACTAAGTCCAGAACCACACAGAAGCGTGGGTGATAAAGATCAGAGAGATAAGTCACTCATCAGAGGTACAGCTGAGGCACAGTTTTCTGGCCCAAACGGCGGGACTACTGATAAGAACCAGCAAGTAGTCGGAAATTTCCGTTAGATTTTTCGGCTCGTGACCCACACGTGACCTGATTCATTGACATCACTTTCCTAACATCACTTTATTCCCATTATCAAGGATAGTTTTGCGTTTAAGCTCACACAGTCTGAGGAGTCGAGAAGCCTGGCCTCCATTCTACCATTGATCATTTAGATTACATGCAATATTCCGGCGCAATTTTAGATCCAAAACACTCATATAACGTTAGGTGATTAAAATTCCTCGGTTCCTAAATACAATCCATTTTACTCATTGTTATGTGTAAGTTTGCTTACCGGAGCGAACGCGGTGATGGTATTTGCCGTTCATTCTATTTATACAAACTGATAGTTCTTTTCAGTCGTTAAGCAATATATTGGTCTGTCCCAGAAGAGTGAAGCTTAAACTATGGGGTTTATTTTCTTCAACTGACGCATCTAACGACGTATAAATCCCAATAGAAGGAAATGTTCTTTGATTTGCGCCTCGATAGATTGGCGAAAACAGAAGTCTAAACAAAAGTGACGAATACAGACAAAATTCAGAGCTATCAAAGGAATAATCTAAAACATGAGAAAAAACAGGGCAGTTTCAGGACACTTCAAGCGGAACGAGATAGTGCAAAATTACACAGCTTGATACCGAAAAACGCTTCAACAAAGTCTTGCAAAGGGAATGATACCCGAAATAGTTTATTTTTTATTTTATGGCTGCTAACACACGCCATAAAACCAACCCAAAAAGGTAAGGCGAATAAATTACACTTCCATGAATCAAGAACACTGTTGAAACGAATGCAATGCAAAGTATAACAATAGCCTACAAAAACAAAAGAAACATGGGTAAAAAAAATTTAAAAACGGAAACGGAAATTGGATCTAATGATGAAAAAGGAGGACGCAAAGAAAATTCAGTGAAAAGACTGTAACAAAAAAGAAGTGCAACGAACCGGAAAAAATTTTCCGCCATATAGGAAAATAAACCTATTGCCCAAAGTATAACTAACTCTCACTCGTCTCGATGGATGAAGGACACAAGTTCGAATTGAAAAACATTCACGAACGACTGCAAAAATGCTACCGAAAAAATGCATTGAAACCGAACCGATCCATTCACTACTAAGGAGAGGAGAACTTCATATCTGCGATGCCCAAACTTACACAAGAAGGCAGCGCAGTAATTGGTAGAAGCACGGGAACTCAAATCTCGGACTATATATCCATGCAATAAGACCTTTGGTTAACTGGATAAATGCACGGAAATAAGCCAGTACAAAGAAGAGAAGAAAGCGCTACTAGCCAACTAAACTCGAGATCATACCATAACGCAACGCAAATTGCGGCCAAACAAATAAAAACGCAGAAGGAAAACTATCGAGGATAGAGGGTACCGGAATACCCAGCCAAATTAGACGAAGACAACGGACCAATCAGAACGGAGCTTAAAGATGCCATCCAACGAGCTAGTCGAATGTGTGTGATTCCATCTGAAATCACGTAACAGATGTTCCTTGAAAGCTACATAAGCGAAAGCAAGTAGTTCAGTGTATGGGTTTAAATAACGTGTCAAGGGTTCCAGTTGCTATAGCTTCGAGCACTTGGAATTAGTCTAATTATCCGAAGAAACGAGAAACTAGGTGATTACGCATTAAAAACATGTTTGATTCAGAGAAACCACTGACTGCGCGATTGAGTCTTTTTTTATCACCGTCATTAACCGCTGATAAGTTGAGTCACGGGGAGCCGATCCAGGAAGACGGAAGCTGTCAACCCGGCTGTTTACCATAGATACTTTCACATTTCGTTACCACCTCATGGGCTGTCCACCTCAACACCATACGCGAAAGGAGCCGCCGGCATGTAAAAGTATATGTCCTAACTAGCGTAACCCATAAAGAGTGAGTCGATCGTCCATCAGAAAAACGTTTCGAATAATTGCGCGTAGCAGCCACATTTCTTATCCATGAAGGAGTATGGACGAAACTGTCCAAACAGTCTTTGGCAAATGAACATATGTCGGGAGTTGAAAAAAGCCGTCTTGGCCTTCCGGATTTCAGAGGTGATTTCGAATCCGTCCAATCCACCGGGACTTCTACAAAGTTATAGGCAAAAAAACCTATCTGCCAAGCTGATTAGATGGCCTGCAAGCATCCGGTTCGTGTTTTGTCCAACCCAGTCTTGTAGCAGTTAAGCTGTAGCACGCCTTCGGTGCCTAGCTGATACGCCACCCAAAGGAGGCACCAGGGCTGGGATACTGCCAAGTTGCCCAAGCCTAGACAGGGTAAGTCAAGAGGCAGAGGTCGGGTTCGAACCACACCTACCGGTCAGTAAATCCGTGTTCTAACGGATGCGTCCTCATGGAATAGAACGCCGTTAAACTAGACGTGGTAGTACATACCTATAGAAAGTGAGATAACGGAAAGAATAACGAGACTCAGTAAGAAAACGATGAACACGTGAAGGATGCTGCAAATTCAGTCCATGCAGTACACTGACTAGAGTGAATATACAGACTGGAAGTGGCCGAAACAGTCACCATCCGCTGTCTATCATGGCGATTCCGAAGGCTTCGTTGCTCCCCACTACCCATGTTAGATTTTCACTCACTAAACACCCATGTCCCCTATTGTGATGCCCCTCAGCATGACATGAAGACTCCTCAGACCACCGCGTTTACGTTCAAAATATAGCCTACCGCCTTCGTCACTGCAACTAGATTCAAGGGACTAAATGATCTGGAGCACTGCTGAATGATCTCGGACGGATTCTGCTCATATGAGGCTAACGAAAGGTTTAAGCCATTTCTTTCATGATGTAAGCGGCTGAACCCATATTTAGCACGCAATAAATTTGTCGAATCAAACGAGTAAGTGTGAATTACAGTACAACTTCGATCAAACCTTACAGACTGTCCTTTGCCTTTTCTAAATTAAATGGCTCGCTTCCAAAGTAAACATTTAGTTCACCGACCGGGAAGAAAAATAGCTACGACGGGGTGATACACGAAACTGCGGGATTCAGGAAAATATACAATGACAATTGTAAGCTAACAGTGGATGCTATGAGGGGTTTTCACGTGCACTGCGAAAACCGTAGAGTCTGTCAGTTGAAATGCTTCACCTACTTCAAACTACCAATGAATATAATCCACAAAGAGAAGGAAAAAATTCACTCAAACAGCTCTCTTGCAAATTTTGGGATTCAGACAATGAAAACAAACGGGACGAAACCACATGTGGCAAATCCGAGGGGCGTTGCTTATGAGGGACGATCTAACCCAAATATGGCTTCTGAAATTCTAAACTAATTGAATGGCAATCAGATAACCAAGCACAGAAAGATGCTGACTTATTTATCGATAGACGTTGGGATTTATCTCACGGGACAACGTACATTGACCTTACATATATATGCTTCTGAAGATTTCACGCTGTTTATCAATGCATGTTCATCGGACGGTGCACAGTAGTAGGTTGAAGGAAATATACGTGCCAACCAATATCCACGTCTTGATAAGTTTTACTTTATCACTGTACGGACAAACTTACCGCAGATATGAGAAAAGGTTTCTTTGCTAATGTAGCCTGGTAGCTATCTAAATTTATAAAGCAACTATTTTTGTTCCTGAAACTAATGACATTCATAACAAGTTTGTTGGTTCATCTCACTAATCAACGTCCATATTAGGGCATGAAATTTCTGGTACACAGGAAAACTATAGAGCGGTGAGAAGATTCCTGTTAGCTCGTTTTGAAAGACGAGATATCACGAGACGAGACCCAAATATTCCGTGAACAGAAGCTAACCTGAGCATTGAGTAACCATGAGGCTTGCCTTGAAGCGACAAGCACAACTTCCCGTGGAAATTTGAGGCATGCAATATAGGTTACATTATAATTGTACTGCGAGACAAACTCAATCAAAGAACATGGAGCATTCTGTCGAAAATGATTAAGCTCTCTTACCATTTTAGCAAACCGGTACGTAGATATTGGACCGCAGACATGACCTATAAAAGGCAACCCGTCAACCACGGGCAAACAAGATGATCTCACTCTGGTATCTCTCTTCTAAGGAAGGATTACTGGAATCTAGTAAGATTTTCCGTGCACCTAGATGTGAGCAACCGAGGGAGGAACGGCTGATAACAACGGACTAGTCTACGCACAACACCAACAAACTGTGGCACAGCTGAGTAGCATTCTAGGTTTACTCATTAAAACTGACACTTATTGGATGGAAATGATACATACGATTCCGACTGATCGATAATAAAATCAGCGAAAATCACATTCCACAAGGAAAAAAAAGCGGGGCAAAGTGAGCTTTGGGAGCCGGTGAAAATGACTGGCGGGAGAGCCAGACGACTGACAAATAGGCAAGCCTCTGTTAAGCGTATGTGTGAAAAAGAGTAAAAGAATCTGAGTTGTCCGTCAATGTGGAATTAAATCTAATCACATTCGATCGCACTCGGTGCATCCGGGAGAAAAATTGACAAGGCCGTTTTTCTGCAGCCATGGGTGACTACTTGCGTTGGATATAGTAGCCTGGTTTTAATTGCATGAGCAGGAACAGAAACCTAATGTCCATAATCGTCCATCTGTTGCACCCTTTTCGGTGCCTTACTGACATACCACCAGAAAGAAGCACTGACAGGTTGTCCAAACCTAGACAGGGGAAGTCGACAGGCAGAGGTCGGATTCGAACCACGAACCTTCCGATCAATAAATTGCCGCTCTAACAACCGAGACATCTTCCCAACCTGGTTTTCATAGACAGTGAAAATTCATTCACAGCTCTACTAGGGCGACTGTAGTTTTGAGGATTCTTTCACTCAAAGGAAGTTACTGGATTTAAGCATCCTATTTTCACCATGAGACTAGATAAATTCAATCACCACCATGCGCAAGATCCGGGGATAACATGCTATCTGCTGCGGTGATAGTTTCGGGGTACATCGTATCGGGAAAAGTCAGGGAACTCCCGCATGCGCACCAAATTCAGAATGAGAAACAGGATGCACAGATCCAGTCCGTAACTGGCGAACACAAATTTATTTGAATCAAATGTGAGTCCTAAGCAATGGGAGAAAGTTGGAAATCAGATAGTATTGTCCTCCTAACGCCAGGCGCACACTATGACGATTACAGAACTTGGAGAGTACACTATTCTTTTCATGTGACAATCCGCCTTGTTACGATCATCTTCCTCACAGAACTGTGGAAGTGCCCGCAAGTCTTATCCCTCCATAACGCTACTACCGAAGTCATCTGGTTTCTGAGGCCTCGTGATAGAGGGATTACTGTATTGCCGTACTTTGTACATTCTCTTAAATCCACTAGTTTAGCTAGCATCGGATGGTTTTGATGGGTCTAGAAAAATAAATAGTAAGGATGAACCGGACCAAGTGGGTCATTGCATGGGAGATCAGTGATAGCCAGCTGATGCGAATCCTTTACGTAGAATTAAAGCTAGTCGAAACGACTGAATGGTCGATAAAGCTCCGAAATGATCCAATACTGGGTCGAAAACCATGAGCATATGCGAGTTTCTGCATAATTGAGAAGAGAGTGATTTGATGTGGTCACGCAGGGTGTTCTCTCCCGCAAAACGCAAGTCAACTGTGTCCTACAGTATGTACAGGCTCGAACCAGAAAAGACTTCATAACAGGTACGAAGAACGGAACGAATAATTCAGTAACAATCTACAGTGAGCAACATTTTTGTGGCCGTTAGATTGTCGTTGACGCCCCAGTCATACCTAATGATCAGGTAAACAATTCGAATAGATGACTCACTTGTGTGAATACTGTACAGATCCTGGTACTGACGAAACATCACTGGAAACCAATTGCATATGGCAAAGCGTAAGAATGTGCTGCTCATGTGTAGGGCGGCCGAAGCGCATAGCAAAAGCCGGTATGTCGGAGATAACGTGTTGCAAAGCGTTTGAAATCGAAGTAAGATATTGTCGGACTGGTGTTGCTTGTCGCCGCGATAGACATCTGTGACGACATCGTTTCCAAGGGATTCAGAAGTAGCTGTGTTATAAAAGGTTGGGAAAAGGAGAGTTTTGGATATTAAAAGCTTAACTGAAGCATGTTTTTCGACTAGGTGGCTAACGGTCCCCTACAAGTGGTTAATGACGTTGGTGGAAATGGTCCAATCGCGCAATCAGCGGCGATCGTGTATCAAAGCTATCGCCTTCAATGCGTAGCTACCCAATGTCCGAACAAACTGAACATACCTTCGCCTCCAAGGCTTGGTTGTGTGTTTCACTAACCCGTTTTCCGGTGATTGAAACTGTATCAGCTGGAACCAATGAGTTTATGGCATACAGTTTATAGCCGATAAATTGAATTGAAGTGAAGTGAATTGACATCCAAACGAGTATATTTAAGAATCTGGAGTAAAGCCGAAAACAGATTTACGGGGTTATACCTACCGGGCTGATGGTGTGGCATACCTGGAAAGTGACTCAAGGTACACATCACAAAGTGTAATGCTGCGCTCCAACATGTGATGAGCAGGTGATACGAGATTAACAAATCATCATGCACTGAGCACTTTAGTGCACATGATGGAAACGCCACGTGAGTTATTTCGGCCGCTAAAATGGTAAAGGGAAGGCTAGCATCGAGTTGGTAAATGGAACAGTAAACCACGCATCAGGTTGTTCACTTCAGCCTACCACGCGCACATGGCGAACACAGGAAGTGAAAAACTGAATTGTACAGAACCTGAGGCCACTGTATGATGATGAAATAGTGGCGTAGATTGACTACCGTTGACACGTCCGTCCGTTCTATTAGTGAGTACATCCGGATGCTACCGGTCCTTGGACTTCCTTGTTTACAGCCACAGCTAACTAGTTGTAAGTTCACACCCAATATGAGGGTGTGAATACTGAGAAGCAAACAAAGCGGCGTTGAATGATGGACGCAAGCATGGGCACAACGTAATGCATTACAGAAAACACAATAGTTGTAAGCGGTCTAGCTTCTTATGCAAGAAACCAGGGTGGTCCGTCCGCAGTTATGCATTCAGGAGTGTCCAGAACAGAAAAGGGGAAAACATCTGTTTTAATGGAGAAGTTATTGGGGGACTGATTTCGGATCGACAGCTTGTCGTTCACAGTAAAAGTTTATTTGCTACACAACCGAACTTACCATCGGCCTGGAGCTCATTCGCTTGTGAATTCTGTGCAATCGTGCGACGGTGTACCCTTGTATTCTCCCCGGTTGCCTCACCGTGTCTTGGTCCATCGGATCGAAGCCTGATGCTATCTGCAACATTCTTACGCAAGAATTGGTTTCGCAGACGTGGCAGTTGGAAACCAAAAAGATGAAATGCAAATATGTTCCCGCAGAGTAAACAGCATAGGCCTTGAAAACGGAAGCAGTAAATAAATAAGCACTAATGTGACACTGGAAACTGCTAGGGTTGAAAAAATACTCAGGCGCGGTTAACTGATACTTTCATTACTTTCAATACGAAATTAATCGTTGTATCTTTGCCAAAAGGGTAAGGTTCACACATGAGTAAAGCTACAACAATAGCATTAGCATGTGGTACTAAGTTCAGTTTGCGTAAACGTAGATTCCCCCTCCACAAATGAAGCGATGCCTCATTTCAGGAAATGATTTTCCCATCGCATCTTATCAGTAGTAAATTCTATTGAGTAACTGCTAAACTTAGTACAGAAATGGAGAGGTTAGAGACATTATCATCCTTTGCAAACCTCACTCGACACGAACGCATCGTATAACGACAATAACTTTTGCTCGGTAGACCGACTAGCCGATGAAACTATGCCCACTACTGGGACCGTATGGTTTCTAACCACCTGCAAGGAGTGACATAAGGATGTCAACTAGGAAGGCACAGAGATTCCACAGTACTTGGTTTGATGGTAATCGCCTCCATTTTGTGTACTCATTTCATGCCCTGTATCCAGCAGGCTTTTCGCCAAAATGATCTACTTGAAAGCCTTATCATGAAGAAAAGAATAAAAGTGGTCGGGGAAGGGACATAGTGCTAGCTTACTACATTCATTCCGAGGTGCCTACACCTCCAAACACTCATTCAGCAAATCTGGGTGGAAACTGAAAATAAGATCGCCACTGGCATCGGTTGGCAGCCACATCTTGCAGTGTCTCCAACCAGATGCAGTGAGGATCACGCGGTTCGCACCCTGGAAGGTGAGTAGTACCGACAGCACCCAAGCGTTTCGTATTCTCCTTTATACTCCTCTACCAGCTCAAGGGTTGGTCACTCCTCTGATTCCGCAACTCTGAGTTGGGCATGGATAACAGCTCCTTTCGGCAAACAATGGGTAGACATACGCAACACATGTCCCAACCAACGCAGCTTCTGGTGCTGGACACATTCTTTACTGGAAGTACCCGTTGCACAATCAAAAACTCGCTTCGTAGTTGCCTCGTTACGGATTTGCCGACACCAAACTACACGACCTATGGTTGTGAGACAACGGGTCTCGACTACCCGAAGACGCCTCAGTTTAGCTGCTCTCACAACCATACAACAAAACAGCCCATACCATAGCTTGACACATGAGATCATGGATACACCATCCCGACGCCATAGTTGTCTTGAATTAGCAAACGTGACCCGGGGCTTGAAGATTCGTGCATTGACCTCATCTGTCCCACTACAATCAGGATTAATACAACTTCCAAGATACGTAAAACGCTCCACAACTTCCAGTACCTTTCCTTGGATTGCAAGTGGCACGTTCAGTGGCTGAATGTCCACAAGCATGGCCTTACACTTTGTGGGTGCGAAGTGCATACCAAACGAAGGGATGACGTTGGTCAGTTCATCCGAAAATACCTGTCTTCTCATCTTCGAAGACGAGAGCGAGGTCGTCTGCATATTCCAGATCTACAAGGTTTTCGTCACAGTCTGTATGAACACCAGGGTTTTGGAGTCAGTCCGGCGTTCGTCTCATGATTTTAGCGATCACGAAGTCAAATAGGAATGAAGAAAGTAGGCATCCCTGAGGGACACCACTTTGTTTATAGAAGCTTTTGGTGAGCTTGCCGTATACTCTCACAAATCCGGAAGTCTGAGAATGTAAAGAGCTCAGTGTTCACGAACTTCCGGGGCATTCCTTGGTGGGCCAACGTGTCAAGAAGAACACATCGGTCAGCCGAGTCAAACGCACCTTGGAAACCAAGGTGTACTGAAATTGTTCGTGGCTTATACGTATGGCGTAGTTCTAGCACCTGAAGCAGTGTGAAGATCTGGACATCCATGAAGTATGACCGCCCTTACCGTTGCATTGGACAAACGGCCCCTTAAATCCAGTTAAATTCGCCTCCGACACAATAAACGGTGCAACTCCGTAAGTGTCTCTCGAACCTTGATGATGGATTTATTGATTCGATCCGTCACGACAGTCCAGATAAGTATACCGGTCAATAAAATCAGGTTTCTCTGAAGTTTGATAGCGATACAGATGGGAGCTCAAAATTCCAGAGCAATAATTGCATTATGAAGGTTCAAAATACATGCCGAAACTGGGATTAACATTCAGAGTGGTGAGGGCCAATGAATAAGACAATGTCGTTGGCACTGTCCTTCTCCAGAGCCGATCTATATACCAAGATCTTTATCCCTTGAAATGTGCATTCCGTGTACATTTCGATGACAAAACTGAACAGCAAAACGGAGAGAGTAGCCATGCCGAACGTTCGTTCTATCTCTTACATGACCCGAGAGCAAACTTCAGGGACATTCCCCTTTGAGCAATCATACATAAGAGTGGCATGTCTACGGGGTCAAACGCCCCTTCGAGTCCAAGGATAACGGCAATTGTTGGCCGGCGGTGTGTATAGCCTTTGCCATTACGTGAAGCTGTGACCAATGCGCAGTTACACAGAGGAATACTTACCTGATGTTCTCATACTGGCGTCTTAAGGGAAGCATCACAATACTCGTGAAGCTAACAGCCGCATTAGGACAGGCATCTCTGTGGTTGGAACAATTGCTTCGTGTAAATTTTCTAATACACGTATAACGAATGGTTGAATCCAGTTGCCTAAGACATATTCTCATAAACAATTAAATTCAAATAAACTAATTAAGGTAGAAAACAAAGATGTGCGGTCGCCTTTAACTTGAGCCCGTAAAAGCTCATCCTAATGCCACTTCAAGACAAATGGACGTGTTAGTGCTTTATCGATCAAGGGTGGATCTAAACTAACAAACCACGGCTTCAACTGGGTGGATCGACTGACTGATATGGAAGCGCATGGCCTCATGCAAGTGAACAGGCTAGTGATCGTTTACAGATATGTAGACAAGCAAAGAAGCCTCACCCACACCTACAATCGACTGTGTCAAGAGAGCGAACGTGCTATGGGCCCCATAACTGCATTTGGTTTCCTGTACTGGGCTTTTGGAAAGGCAGTAACTGTCCACCGATAAAGTATCAAGTTTGTTCGCAAGGGCAGCCAGTCCACTGGTGTAGACAAGCAAGAAGCCTCAACCACACCTACAATCAACTGTGTCCAGAGAGCGAAGGTGCTATGGGCCCCATAACTGCATTTGGTTTCCTGTACTGGGCTTTTGGAAAGGCAGTAACTGTCCACCGATAAAGTATCAAGTTTGTTCGTAAGGGCAGCCAGTCCACTGGTTTACTCAATAACTCAAACGTTAAGGACTGTAATTACTACAGAGGAACGGGGTCTGATTGGTGAAAGCAGGGACGCAGATGTGAGTGATGGCGTGCAGTGAGTTACTCACCTGGGTAGCTGACTGACGGGAAACAGGTGGGCTCTGCAGAAGTGATTACCAAACGGGACAGAAAATGAGTTGAGGAATAACAACGAAGAAAGATGGAGACATCGGAACTCGCACACTTCGCCTTGTCTCTACTGCTGTATGAAGCAGGTAAGACGACCCAGCTACCATCACCACGCGAGGACAGATGTGACATAAGAGTGCTTTGGTTCGTGCATTTCACGAGTGCATGCGGGAAGATCCAGTATCGGGGCGCCCCAACCTATGCAGGGCGGTGATTGGAGCCCTCAACCAAAGGCTTGGCTCAGAAGCCCAACCACAAGGCAGTGGTCAGCAGTCCAACCTTTGGAGGATATGTTGCCACACTTTTCCAGCCCCAAACCTAGAGGACTAGATGACCGTGCCTGTCACAGCACTATCCAGTGACCAACCTTGTAGGAGACTGACTATCCACTAACAACCTTGTAGGAGACTGCATGGGCATTCTCAAGCATAACTTAATGGGAGGAAAGGATTTTACGGTCCCAAAATATTTCTGCAGTAGCCTGCTCTTCTAAACAAGCAAACAAACTCCCAAAATACGATAAGAAATGCCCTGTAAGGAACAGTCGCGTGTGAACACTCGCGATTGATCGCGCCAAATTGGTGTGTACCAGGTTTTATCGGGAATTACTCCAGTAAAACTGCAAGGAAATAGAACAATGTGGGAATGTGTTACAACTGGAAGATGGTTCCCTGGGTCGTACATAGTTACCCTAGAAATGGAAGTAACTAGAGAATCCCACTGTAGCTGTTTCGCTGATGAATAGAGATTCAGCTGGTAACACACAGAAGGCCGAGGTCTGTTGAAATTGACAAGGAGTTGGCTTGGTTTTTAGTGTGGTGATGAAATGTATGGGTGAGTATGTTGTGCCCCTTCCAATTTGTTAAGGAAGGGTAAAGAACGTCTTAAGTATTTGGTCCCTAAGGCGTGTGCACTCAACAGCATGTTAACCTGTCAACCGGCGAGGTATACGGGCTGAGCTGGGCATTACTTTGTTTGGTGGAAAGTCCACTTTTCATCTAGTGCCTGCGTTCATACGTTTGTAAAAATGGGTGATCCAGTCTGATGACGATGTCAGCCGAGTGAGACCTCGTGTCCTTGTTCAAGGCATTTCTCACTCTGTGATATGCGTGAGATCAGAATGCGAAGCGAGGGGGTTGGTTCTCAGAGATGCAGTCAGCTGGATGTGTGAAATGAGTATAACCCTGGAATGTTGTTTCAGTTGATGATGCGCTGCACCTGTAATGCGTGTTTGCACGAGAGCTGAGAGCGCCAGCATATAATAGCACTGATCACCAGGCTGTGTGGAACACACTATCCCAGTTGGGAAGAATGGATTCTCCGCACAGCTCCAGTGATTATCTCATAGTCACTGGCAGCAAAACCACTAGTCTACAGAATAATTCGAATGAAACTCGTCCGTGATGTTATTCGACCAAATGTGCACTGCAAAGGCAGTCACTGGGATCTGATATCGAACCGTATTTTCTTCATAATTGGTGCTATATATTATATCTGTACTGGCCGAAACTGTGGAAAGTGCAGGAAACCCTATTTATCTTGAACAGACTCTGT